GTGTGTTGTGGTGTGTGTGTGTGTGTGTGTGTGTGTGTGTGTGGTTGTGTGTGTAATATGCATCCGGATACACATCCCTTGCACATACTGAAGACGGCCCACACTCACTGCGCTTAGTTGGACCGAACCCATTGTTATAATGCGACTGCGGATGATCTTCCTCCTTCGCCTGCTCGCTCCTCCTCCTCTTCTTCTGCCTCAGGAAAGAGACGATGCTTGCGACCCCCAGCAGCAGCAACAATTATTCCTCCTCCTACTGACAAGCCGATGATAAGTCCGATGTTAGGTTGGTTGTCGCCGGTGTTGTCTGCGTTGAGTGTTTTGAAGCTTCTGCGTGTCCCTTTACTCAGACCTCCTCCTGTTTGGCACTGTAAAGGCAATGAATCTGTGAGGAAGGGAACTGCTACTGGCTAAAGGGATTTTTGTGAGGAAGTGGATAAGACTTTAACAATAATTAGTAGAAGTTGCTGTTGTTATTTGTGATTATCATATTTGGTGAGTGAATAGGCTAAAATCTTGCCCTACCACCCCCAAAACTATTATTACAAATAGAAATAGATAACTGAACCGAATGATAGACGTTAGAAACAGGTATCGTAACTTTTGAACAACCAATTTTAGAACTTAACTCTAGATATTATTTCACTGAAGAAAAAACATTAAAAACTTTTATTGTTGATCTTCTTATCCTCAGCGCAGGAGCATCATTTGTAAGAAAACCTAAATCAATATCGTAAGAATTCAGATTTTTTTCTATCATTACCAACGGAGCCGAATCATTCCCTCCTTTTACACATCTCGTTGTTGTTGTTTTTCTTCAATGAATTTTCATCCTTTCTCTATTTAATTTGTACATATAGCCATATGTGAAAGTACACATAAAGGTTAGCAAATGGACATCACAAATAAAAGTAGAATAAGCCCTTTTTTCTGGAGTGACAGTTTTAAATGGATGCCTTTTATTAGTTCATTAACTCGTGTTAAACGACTGAAGAAAGGTAAGTGACACAAAGCAGGTGAAGTGTTAAGTGGAAACCTCTCCAGCGGGCCCTTATGCACGACACAAAGAATGTAGTGTCAAGTAGAAATCTCTCTGGCGGCCCTTCCTTCCAACCGGCCTCTCTGCAAAACCTGATTTATTGGCATCTCTCTTTAATGTTAAAAATGGCCTTGGCAAGTTTAATAATATCTCCGCCCCTAAAGTTGTTATGCGCGTCAGCTGGGGCAGTTTCTGAGGTCAAGATTTAAAGATGCTACTGGGTCACTTCCTGAGATGTGAAGGCCAATACAATGATAGTGTAGCGAGCGTGCGTGCATGTGTGTGTGTGATAGAGAGAGAGGGAGAGAGACTGACTTGGAAACAATACTAATGTGTTCATGCCATATATAATCAGCTGTTATGATCGATCGCCATCACTATCAGAGCCCCAACAGCGCTAGAAAAGACCAACGAAGACCAAAAAAAAAAATCAAGAACATAACCTATCGACACGATCTTCCGCATGACCCCACCCCGTCACCGCGCTAACTAACCTTCACTGTAACCTCGTAATTCGTAGAAGGAGTGAGGTCAGTAGCGTCGAAGAACATCATCTCCCCCTCAACGTCGTTCTCTGTCTCCTCATTGTCGGTATCTCCTCGCAGGGTCACTTCCCACGACTTGATGGCGCCGTTCACGTGAAGGGGCATCGTCCAGGAGATATGGGCGGTTGTGTTGGTGACTTTGGATACGATCACCTCACTCGGCTCGTCCGGAACTATGGGGACGAGGACGAAAGGAGAGGAGGAAGGAGGAATAGAAAGGAAGGAAGGGGGGGGAGAAGGAAGGAGGAAGAGAAAGGAAGGGAGGAGGGAGATGGAAGGAGGAACAGAAAGGAAGGGAGGAAAAGGGAGAGAGAAGGAAGGAGGGGCAGAAAGGAAAGAAGGGGAAAGGAAGGAAGGAGAAACAGAAAGGAAGCAAGGGGAAGAAGAGAGAGAAAGGAAGGAGGAACAGAAAGGAAGGAAGGGGAGTCGAGGGGAGAGAGAAGGAAGGGGGAACAGAAAAAAAGGAAGGAAGGAGGAGCAGGAAAGATGGAAGAAGGGAAGGAAGGAGAAACAAGAAAGGGTGAAGGATGGAGAAGGGAGAGAGAAGGAAGAAGGAACAGAAAAGAAGGGAGGGAGAAGGAAGATGTGAAGAAGGTAGGGAGAGAAGGAAGGAGAATGGGGGAAGAGGGAAGGAAGAAGCAAAGAATGAATAAGTGAAGAAAAGAGGGAGGCAAGGAATGAGAAGGGCGAAAGGAGGGAGATGTAAGACAAGGACGAAAGAAGTGAGAAAGGAGGAAGATAGAGGATAAAGAAGAGAGAAGGGAGGAAGGAAGACGAATTTAGAAGGAGGGATTTGAAAGAGGAAAGGGTGAAGAAAGGAGAAAGAAAGGGGCGAGTAAAATAGGAAAAGAAGGACAGAGGACAAGGAAAATTTAAGGATGGAGGTAAAGCAAAGAAGAAGAGAGGAGAGAGACGA